GTAGGTCAAAACGCAGAATCATGCGCACTAGATACGGTTAACTAAGTCGGTACAAAAATAAACCCTTTTCGACAATTTGTTTCGATTGTCCATAACGTATGGTTTGTAGTTCACGCGAGTAGTACACATATAAATAAAACATTTTTAACGGTTTAAAACGCGAAATGTAAGTTTAATTTATAAGGCTTATTAATGATAAGCTGGCTATATAGTATAAAAAAAACTAGTTGAACTAATATATTTCGCGTTTTAAACTGTTAAAAGTGTTATATTTAAATTAATGCTCATAACATGCTATAAGCTTAAGCCCTACGTATACACCTCCTTAACCGCCAAATTAGACAGCATTTTGAAAACTCTATTTAATTATTACCTTTCTAACCAGACATAATTTATCTTTCCCCCCTCCAATTATGATAAACCACAGGAACTATTCAAAGCCTCCTCCACAAAACTATATCGCTTTTAGATTCACAAATCGTTGAATGCGATTATGCGACCTCGGAAGCCCACGCTTTTTTATACCCATTTGACATTTGCTCACTCAAGCGATGGATCTATTCTAGCTGGTGACGTCACTTAATACCTATAGCTGTGTTTTGTCGCTAGATCGAGATTAAACGTAATACTCGTAGACTGTGCTCGTAAATGTCTTTCGATTCATAGCATTTTTGTATTATTTTTTTTTTAAGGTGAAAAACCTTATGGCTTTAAAGATTTTTTTGTTTATTAATTATTGCTTTATTTTTTATAAAACACACCACAGAAAACACATATTAATTACGAAAAATCTTCATACTAACTTATAAATAAAAGGCGGCCTTATCGCTAAGTAGTGATCTCTTCCAGGCAACCTGAGTACAAGAGAAAAGAAATAGAAAACCAACTTATTTAATGGGTAGGTAATATTCTGTGGTAACTGAATTGTTTATGCGTAAAATTAAAAACAAATTACTTTAATTTAAATAACGTTTTATAGGATGGTAAAACGTTACGTAACGCGTTACAGCCTCTATTTACCTTCTACATCGTCTAAACGTTTGTCTAACACATATACTTTTAGTAGATAATTCCTTCTATATTTCCCAGTCTAAAGTAAGTGTAACGGTTTTTTTCCTTTGAGTATTATCAAGTTTACGCAAATAGTACACTTAAGTAAAACATCTTTCACTGTTTAACGCGATATATATTAGTTGAATTGTTTACAATTTAAAACCCCCACCCAACTTTTCGGATGCAGTTCGGGAGTACGTAACGTTAAAATAAACTGTATAAGGTAACTACTAAGGTACTAACTAACATATTTCGAGTATTTAACCTTTAAAAGTGTTTTATTTAAAAATATTTTCTTATACTTTTCCTTTAGACTCAGGCAGTGTATTACGGGTAACTGTGTTATCGATAAAATGGTAGTACTATTAACCTACTTAATTCACCACGCTTTGCCTACAAAAATTAGTTTCAATTTATTTATGGAATGCCCTGCAAATTTTCGATATTCCTACCGTACTTAATATCCAGTATTTAAGACGAAATTCAACAGTTCGAATAATTAAAATTGTTTTGTAAATTTTGGGGGTCCACCCACGACCCTTGAATGAATGCTACTTACTTTATATTGACACCAAATTATACAATTAAATATTATCTACGTCATACGAATCGCTTTGAAGACTCATAAAGGTTCGAATAAAACATAGGATTTCAATGTGATTGTGTTCTAGTGATTCACGAATCTAGCAGGATAATGTGCAACATACCACAGATACATGACAGGTTTTTCTTGATTCTAGTTGAGTTAATTATATAAAAACTGTGCACTGTCGAAGGTGAAGGATAAACAACAATAAACAAGATTACAGTAATGTACATTTAATTAATGTTGATTTTGTCACAGCATTTGAATCAACATCACCAAGAGTTTTAATTTTGAGACATAGGTATTATTTCTGTAGCTAAATGGTTAAACGTGTTGCTTAATACTGCGATAAGCTATGGGTTCAAGTCTGGTCAACTACTTGTCTGCTAAAAACGATCAGTGAAACGGACACACAAATGTGTCCACCTCATGCCCCATGGGGTGAGACAGAATTTCACTATGAGGACGGAGATTCAGTTAGTTGTTTTACCAAAAATATCGTTTAATTAAAGAATTAAAGAGGTTAAATTTAGTTATTAACTTTTTTAGAGCCAAGAAGTGAACTGAAGTTCAAAGCAAGCCGATTTCTAGTATTATGGTAATTAAATGAAATACTTACCGCTATCCTTAAACTTGAAAATATAATCTATTGTTATCTGAAACAAACAGCGGAAGACGTTTTATAAGAGGTCATTACACCTTCCGTGATACGTAAACGAATTTTGCCAATGTGACGCTATAATTATTAAATACAAAATTATATCGTCAGCATTTATTTAATTATGTTTTTTTTTATAATTATCGTAGCTTTTGACAAAAATATTTGTATAACGGTAAGATGCAAAATGATTGATTAATTAAAATGTTAATTACGGTCTGTAGTTTCCGAAAAATTAAATACATTAACGGTTTAAAACGCGATATATATTAGTTGAACTTATTTTAAAATTATATTAACTACGGCTCGACGATTTGGATGCTTTGCAGCAGCCGTGACCACGGACGTAGTTAAAATAATTTTCACATAAGTTTAGCTAATATATATCGCGTTTTAAACCGTTGAAGTTTTTATTTAAATTAAAAATGTTTTACAGAAAGTTCTTCATTTTCTTTTTATCGAAACTTTTACCTTAATTAAATATAAATTAAAATTAAAACTCAATCGATTATATTAATAGCTGTAAGTGTTTAATAATGATTATTTAAGTGAGTTTACGATTGAGTTAATAATGACAGGATTCTAACGATTAATCATATGCTGGGTGTTTGTAAAATATATTTAAATAAGGGTGAAAATTAATACAACAATAAAGAGAATCGAAATAATTTTATTAAAAACTTGACATAATCGAAACAACTTAAGACTAGTTTCGTCTTATACAAAACAATATAAAAATAACTTATCTAAGTGATGTGACAACTTAAGAACTAATATACAATATTGCATGCAGAAAACTCTCAAAATGTGATTATATTATATGGTTTTTGTACATATACATTTCTTTGGCATATGGTACGAACCTATATCTGTCTAGCGAGAAGTCTTCGAAAACCTTTTGATTGGTTATTTGTGAGCTAAAAAGTAGTAATAGTTCTTAACAGTATTTCCTTGAATCTTGATAGCTTCCATCAATTCTAAGGTTGAGGTTTAAAACATTTATTGAGAAATTGTTTCTAGAATTTTACATATTAAATTAGGACATGATAAACATCAATAATATACTACTAGCGCAATCGTTAGGACGGACTTATGTAAATCAGACGCAAAACACATGTCGTATGTGGGACGTGCCCAAAATATGGATTGTGAAAGGCTTGCGTAAACAAAGATCTACTGAATGGCCAATTCTAGCGTATTCGATAACTTATTTTGAGGTCAGTTCACACGAGGCCCCTCGAACACGTTGTCCATGGGCAAATACCAATGTTGCGTAACGCTTGACTATACCTGTCACTTTCATAATGGGTGATAGATTGTTATATAGCAATACACGAAGAGAATAAGCCCCTTTTCAAAAATAATCAAAAGAATAGCCACCTCTTTCATGCTACAAAATTAATCGTTACATATTTGTATCCTTAGTTTCTTATACAAAAAATATCTTCAACGTCTACCATGATTTATTTTTCTCACGTGTCCGACACAGTCATTTAGAAGTGAGTCAGGTAATGAATCAGATCTTAAGTAGGAAGGAGTTCATTTAACCCATTCACAATCTCTAACGGCCTGTGACCCTACGAAATTGACCCTAATATCTAAAAGTGACAATTATATCAACCGCTCGGGAATTCCGACCAGATATGAAGAGCATTTGCTATATCGTAAAGTCGACAAGTAAACTAATTATATTTCTTAACCATAACTTCAAATAAAGATATTAAAAATTGGTACCATAGTGCTTTTGGTAACAAACAATGGCCAATTTTAAAACATTTGTATACAAAAAGTTACGACTTAAAACAGATAAAAATTAAGGCAGTAGTTTATCATTAGATCCTGAGTAGCGCTGCCAATAACTTACAATAATATAATACTTTAAATATGGTAACATAATATAATTTGGAATGTCTAAAACTAAGATGGGTTGAAGATTTCTGTGGTTCCTTTAACAAGGAAACGAACTTCAACCCTATATGACGTCATAAATCAAGATCGAGACGCGGGAAATTGGAAACAAGACCATTGCGAAATTGGCCTTTGATTTAATAGATTGCCTCATTAATAAATTACCCACTTTGTCTATCTCTTTCTTGCAACATAAGATAAAAAGAGACAACACCTTAATTATTCATGTTTGTTACTTTGGGAATTTCGTCAGCTTAACACAAAGGACGTAATTGGCAACTATGCAATCTCGCGTCTCGGTTTTAACTCAACGTTTTATCTACAGCCGTGAAAGAGCCGGTTTCTGAAAGAAAAAGCTTCAGGCTCGGCTCGTCTCGACATAATCGGTGGATTTTACTATGACAAAATTCGGTTCAGCTACGCGCATACAAACGAGGTGCAAATAAATCCAAAAGCAGACAAAATAAAATAATACAGAATCAGTGTGTGTACACAGACTTGAGAATATATAGATGATTACAGAAATCTTATAAATCTAATTGGACATCTCTAGGTTAAGAAAAGTTTGATTTGAGATCTACTATATACGTTAAATTTTGCATGACAGACTAAGAACACATCTAGTTATCAAATTATCTTTTAACAAGAAATATGTATGGTGTTGTATTATAACTAAACACTGATTCATGTATGGCACGTCTTTATGAAGGTCAACTGCATATTACCTATTGAAACTGCATAACGCCTGCGCTTGAATCATCCACATAGCTCCATTCATATACACCTCTCACAATCTTAGCACTCCGTCTCACCTTCCTTCCTCTCAGGTAAGTAGTGCTCTACTTCTCTTAAAGATTTGAACAGCCTCCATGCCAGTATCACACCAGCTATTTCCACTAATGATATGAGCAGAGACGCTCCAGCTACCGACGAGCTGATGATCTTGGTGTACACAGCGGCAACTTTAGCACATCCCAATCGTTCGTTCGCTTCCTTGTCCGTGAACTCACAGGTCGCTCTATAATAACTATCCTGGCAGCACGTCAAGGGTAGGTCGTTTCTCCAACTTCTGTAATCACGAGCGTCGTTCGCACCACAGCACCTCAACTTCCTTTCGATCCTCCCGAACGCCTTGAACACGTCGGGATTCGATTGGGAGTTGTAGTAGCCGTCATACACTGTATCCTTTATGAAGCGGTCTGTGTGCTCTCCATCGACGTAGACGAAGATCAGGGTAGCAGCTATGACTTGTCCGAGGACGATTAAGCAGAGGAATATACCGTATATTCCTAGTAATCCTCTGCTTTCCTTGCTAGCGCCACACCACCCGCAGAAGGCCACCATCATGACAAACAGTCCGAGCAAAATAAATAGCCATGGCGCAACTTGGGGCCAGTATACTCTATAATCCAGTAAATAGTGATTGCTGTTTCGCAACGCGACAAATTCGGATAGCTGCACGAAAAACCATATTCCCGTTGCAGCTGTAACTAAACCGAACACCGCGTATAACACATTGACAACGTACAACACACCCTTTATCATCTCTTCTTTACCCATGTTGACGTGCGCTTTGCGTCGTGGTTCGTAACGGTATGGAAACCGATGTAATGATGCGAGGAATTTTATAAACTCGTGCGCACCTAGTTTTGAGCTTAGAATGGGTCGGTTTATACACTACGATACGATTCTGTTAATTCTTTTCCATAATGTGTTATGTTCACACCGCGTAATGCGATTATTAGTTAATGATAACATTAGTTTATTGTGTCAAGTACGTTATTGCATAATCTTATAAGTTACTTATTAGTTTTTATTCTTGAATTGAACTTGACGTAAACAATAATTTTAATTAAATATAATATGTAGATTTCGCGGCATTGACGTTTTGTTTTATGATTTTGACAAAAAGAACAATAGTAGAGTATGTTGTAGTTAATAAAAAATATCTGCCATTTCAAGAAGATTTTTTAGAGAATATTTTTTTAGATAATGCAAAATTAAGTTTGTTGGGTGTTTAGAACATTTATAAATACTTAACTTTAAAGATATATAGTTTCTTAGCTATTTAATCATATCTTAAGGATTTAAATAATACGGTTTAGGTAATAAAATATGTATAACTATAACGTCTAAATCGGCCATTATAAAGTAACCTCACGATCCGATCGACAGTCGCACCCTAAGAAAAGTCGGATCCATATCGTGGCGTGTAAAAGCAATGTCGTATACGTGATTTTCCTGGCATAGCTTAAGAACCGATGGCATACTTAATGTACCTGCTGCACAAGGTTGCGTCACGCAAGGTTATAAGCGAAAGTGAAGATTTTTATGCTCGACCAAATATCTTTTGGAATGCTGGGGCTATTGATTTTTAGCGAAGGTTAAAGACACTTTACTACGAGTTGTAATACGACTTTTGCTAAGGTGGCAAAATTAAATACTGTCTGTAGTTTACGCGAGCTGTACTTGCTGTTGTCTTTTAGTCTCCTAGTACTTTTTGTCAAGTAGTCTCAACTAATATGCAGGTTGCCTTCGCTCCCGGTCCAGGAGAAACAGTTTATGGACACAGAAATGTATCTGTTTCATGACTTTTATATTCATACAACTTTAGTCACACTTCGAAAAAGTTAAATCAATTAAAAATCCAATTTTATACTTTTCTAAGAAAATTGGTTAGAAATTTGAGAAAAATAAAATATGCCATACTTTGATCTATAATATATACTTTTTATTTGTCAATATCTTAAAATACTTTATTTGAAAGCCTTATATAAATACATACAGAGTTTCCTATTTGAAGTTCGCGGCGAAAGATAAATGTTTTTTCTTACAAGCATTACGAAACACTTTTCCCTACAAAGAAAAATGTCTGCCTATTGCATAAAATTACCTAATGTATGTTAATATATGTGACACAAGTAGCTGTATGTAGGTTGTGTAAGGCATATTTGTCGACTTTAACAACTCGTTTTCTACTCAAATATCATTTAATGTTTGTTTGTACCATTTATGTCTCATAGCTTGTCGGATTTTCGTTAGTTATTTGTAATCACGTCATCTATTATTTCTAATTTACGATCCTGTTTAGGCAGGAGCGTCTGATTACTGATGCAGTGTACGAATTAGACCCAGGACCTTGCGAATCGAACCACTAGACCACGACAATGTTTAAACTATACTTGTATAGTTTCTAATTAAAATACAAGTGAAGTCGGTTTTTTTTACAAATAATCTTAAATATTGTCTGTAATTCGCATCAATAAAACCCATAAAAACCCTTAAGGTTCGAAAGGATATATTACTTAACCCACAATAACATAAAGAATATAAATACCCGTTTTTAACCGTTCAAAGTGTTTCACTAGTTAACGTTTTTTTTTCGATATTACTACAATTATTATTTAATTGATAATAAAAGGTCGTGCGCCATGTGTGGGGCGTGGGGCAGCCACATTTTTGTGCTTTTCGCTGATGGATTTTATAACCCGCATTTTATACAGTATTACCGTTGATGTATTATGTATTCAATATGGTAACGGTATCGTCCGATTCACCACTGGAGAACCACCGTCCACATATAAAGAAGCCGTGAAGTTTAATCCCGTTTCGGTATCAGTCTGTGGATTTCCGAACATACAAAGCCAAAATGGAACACCGATGTTATATGGCTGGGATATTTCTACTACCATTATGTGAACACCATGTGTCTGTCCTTCTCTAACATTAAAATAAGTTTCAAACCTGTCTATTTTCAGTAAATACTTGGGGATAATAAAGTTCCAGTAAACAGGTAAAAAACCTACTTCTACCTTATCCGAATCCATCTTTGGAGTAAGGTTATCCTTTGAAATCATCTTTAAAACATTCTTAAACTCTATACTTCAAATGTGGATACCTATACACAACCTAGACGTAAATACCCAGTCTCGTCTCACAATAATTGTATCTACCAATTGTCACGTAATCTACTCGACAAGGACTTCCTCATTTAATGCGCATGCGACGGTTTTGGCTTATTCTTGCTAAGCAATCTTTGAGGTGATGTCAAATGGTTTAACCTCGTGTAACCTTCTGGAAATTACATTATAAAATAAAAAAGTTAATTTTACTGTCGAATAGGTATCTATTATCTATTTTAAAACTGAGTATTTATACCCGTAATAGGTCGACAACTCATTTGGTTTAGATGTTCTTAAAAGCTTATATTATATGTGATGATACTAGCTAGCTAAGGTAAAGAGAAGAATTTAAAAAATAAGCCTTACTAATTGATAAACATAATATTTTAATTGTTTCTAAGGATGTAATGAATATTGAAGCTCAGCAAAGGAAGTAAAAAGTTTATATTACTTATAAGATACCTTTGAGATTTACCTCGATGTTTTCTGGGCTTTACCTATATAAGGAACAGAATAATTAAGCATTGTCTATTGTACAGCGAGTAGTACACACTTGAATAACTTAAACGGTTTAAAACGCGAAACATATTAGTCAACTTATTTAATTCATTGCTTTTCCGTGGGATGGGAGGACATGTGCACAGAGGCTGCAAGGCATCTGAACATCGGGTCGTAGTAGAGATAAATTAAAAATAATTAATATGTGTATTTCACCGTTAAACGTGTTTTATTTAAACATAACAATCCTCTATCTTAAAGCCTCAATGACATTTTAATAGACTACAAAAAGATTGAAATCTTGAAAAATACCGTTCAACAAAGAAATAATTGAAAACAAACTCGCCAATCGATTTAAAGTGTGCCACGGAGCCACGGTATACCTATGCCTTTATACATTGTTAGTGTGTATGTATAACTGTACATATATAACTACCCATTGTTATCACAAATGGTTGTCCCATTAAACGCATTCATTTGTATGCAACTCGAATAACATTTTATGTTTCGAAAGTTATAATGAATTATAGAACTTTATTTTATCGTCTTAATTATTTGTCATTAGGTATATTAGATAATGTAATTAGTTAACTCATTAATTAAGTGTATAGATATGAATTTTATGGAAATATTTAATTAGACATAATTTAGCATTTTATCATTTAACCATTCTTGTATAGTTCTTCCGACCGACGCAAGAGGGCACCGCCGTCGCTCTGTATGAGTTACTACAAACGCAATATGTTAAACAAAGCATATAATATTTTCCTTGTTTGATAAAAAGAAAATATAGATTTCTTTTATTATTTTCCATTGGAAACACCGATCGAATACTTTTCAATCATTTTCACCACCCCTATTTCCCCTAAGTGTGGTGACGATGTTATAAAGTAAAATGAAAGCGCATTTTAAAATTAAGTTTAATATATTAAAATGGTACCATTTAAATATTGTTAATTAATTAAAACTATAACATTACTTAGTGTAAAACGTCTTATAGACTACTTACATTATGGATCTCATATAGCACACCGTTTCCTTAAAATAATATAAATACTTTAACTTAAAATACTTATCTATTTACACTAGGACACAAAAGAATATATTTCCAATTAAATTGTGATTTCTACATGTATTTCATTCAGCTATATTTATTGCATACAGTGTAAATGCTAGATCGTGCAGTCTTGAAAACTTACTCAAAATAGGGCTACCAACATCTAGTAAAATTAATTGTATATTTCTTTAGTGTAATCTTTCCAAACTCATCATCGTGTTTCAAAGAGTGGACAGTTAATAACTAAATATAAAAAAACATCAACAAAATCACACGAGCAGTAAGTAGCAAGTCTTACTCAGAAAGAATAAAATAACTACTTGAAAATCCTTTTAACTCAAACAAATATTTATATAGCTGGCTATCTTAAAGTGAGACTCAAATTATCCCTTAACAGGTACATAATACACGAAATGAGTAATGCGTAACATTAAGCGTAGGTCAATAAAATTTAAGATTTACATTAATTCAACACTTGTATGATATCAGATAAGGTAACCGCAGGTGTCAGCCCTAAGTCAATATCGCATCATTGATTCTAATAGGTTTAAAGCATGATGTCATTTCAACTCGCAAACATGTTTACAATCCTCTAAAACTTGGCCAAAATGCGATTTCCAAAAACTATTTTACAATCTAAAACATCTTGAAATCGCTCAAAACACATAGCCCATTTCCAAACTTTCAACACGACAAACGCATTTTGTTTTACGCTCATTTGGTCGACGGTCAAAAGTTTCCAAACAAAAATTGGGCCTTTGACTTCATAGAGTCGTAATTAACTTAAATTAATCTTTGGCCAAGCTTGTACTTACAGAATTATCCTTGACACAACTTACAATAGAACCTTTTTGCTCTCTGACTCATTTTTTAAAGCTTGTGCTCTTCGTCTCTTCGCTATCGATTTTGACAAGGCCACCGCTACTCCAAGACTCATCATACCAATTATAGCTGTGAAGATCGTCGCTCCAGAAAGAACTTTTATTGCTATCCTGGCGTATTGCGCAGCCACTGTTGAGCACCCGTGCCTCTCGTTCGCCAGTTTGTTCGTGAATTCACAATCAATCGTATACGCATCCAGGAAGCCATGATAGTATGTATCGCAGCAGGACATGGGGAATTCATTCTTCCAGTTCTTGTAGTCCCTTGGGCTGTCCGCGCCGCAACAGTGCAGTTTCCTTTCAATAAGACCGAAGGATGTCGCGACATCGTTGTCCGCCTTCGCCTGGAAGTACACGTCCCATACTGTGTCCTTGACGAAATCGTCCGTCGACTTGTTATCAGCGAAAACCAATGCGACAATAGCCGCCGCCAATAAACACAAGATGGCTATAGACTGCGCGGTAACAAACACTGTTATCATTCCGCGGCTTTTTTTGCGAGCACTGCTGAAGCCGCAGGCGGAAACCCCGATGACCATCAGCGCGACGATGAAGAATATCCAGGGTACAGCTTGGGGCCAGTAGACGGTGTAATCCAGCAAGTAGTGGTTGCTATTTCGCAACGTCGTGAACTCGTTGACTTGACAGAAGAACCATATCGAGGCGGCCGCGATAGCCAAGCCCAGGATTACGTAAACCGTGTTTAGAACGTAGAGGGTCACTTTAGAAATGCCGTAGCTACCCATAATGGCGTGTACACTGCGCCCGCGTTTAGAATCGAATGGCGTAAGGTTGATTGAGGCGGCGCTGGTTATATTATATAAACTATGGTTCGAATCAAGGTTGAGTGATTCATCAGGATTAATGGAATTGGTGACGATCGTGTTAGGATTTTATAGTCAATGGACGTGTAAAAAAATTTGTGTCTCTTGTAGGCTTTGTTTAAGAACACTTGATAAAACAATATCATTTAAGTCACATATATGAATTATGTATTGCAATATCTCATTTAATTGCAAATGAATTGTTGTTAAACGCTTATAAGTGAATACTAAATTAAGTGTTTATTGATTTAATATTAACGACAAGTAACTAGATAAAAATATTTTGTATTCACTTAAATGGATCCCTTTGAAATTTAAGTATAATTATATTATTCTTAAATAATTATTAAACATGCATATTAGACCTACTTTTACAATTATTTACGTCTATTTCCTCGGCCACAGTAGTCAATTAACCTAATCTTATTAGGAAATTATTTCCTGTCTCTCCAAGAGCTCGTACTGACTCATTGAATGTTGTTACATTAATCAGAGGCAAGATGATTTTATGTGTCACCTTTACTCTTTGTTCTAGGAATAGATAAAATTCATTCATAAATGTGTTAGAAGTTTATTTAGTTTAGTCACAGTTTAGATAACTGACAGATAATTTTTAAATAATTTACAAGCAAGAAAAGACAGCAAAACAAATGATTGTTTTAAATAAATATACAAATCAATTATAACTTAATATTATATTTTTTTATTTAAAACCTACTAAGACATTTTTGAGAGGTTATTTTGTACAGAAGACGTAAATTTGAATTAAACTTGTATAGTTTTCTTTTAAGGAAGTATCGAAAAAGACTTATATTGTATAATATTAGATTGGCACCGAGAAGTTCTTCGAACCAAACTTTCATTTCTTTTTCTTAGAAAGCTATTTTTTGCTGTTGCATGTTCTGTGCATCAATATCAAGGAAGATCTCTTTATTTCACCTTTTCCCTAAATTTTTAAGGAAAACAATGCCAAATGCCATATAAATTACAACTTCATTCAACATATTTTTGCTAGACTTGTGGTATGTTACGTGACAAAATATATGTTAAAATTACCTTATGGGAAAAACGTTTATGATGAAAATTTTAGTGCCAATTAGGTAATACTAGTATCAATTAAATTATACAATTATGTCTATCCATTGTTGTTTGAAAAATATTAATTAACAACCTTACATGCTACATACTAAAGTTAAAAATCAATTAATTTTATATAAAAGAGACTTAATTCTTTAGAAACGTAGTTTTACCGAATTTTTACAGCTTTATTTTTTTTAAATTTAAACTAGAATATTGCCAGACTGGAAATTTAGTGTAAAAAGTCCTGATAGCTTTCAAAAATGACTGTGTTAATTTTGAAATAATTAGAATAATACTGTAGGACACTTTAAAAAAGCTAAAGTCTTACCAGTAAATAAATAAATGCTTTCAATTACTTTCAAGGTTCCGCCTGTATTTATTTAATAAACTAAACAATTGACTTTGTTTCTTCCACTTTGTCGGGTTAAAGTTTAGCCTCTCAAAGCGATTATCCATAAGAAGCAATAAAATTGTTCGTTGTAAAATTTTAAATAAAGCAGTAGCACTCTCCTCGTGACCACAGCTACTGTAAAGCGTCCGAAACGTCAACTTGTACTTATAATTAATTTATACACTTCGCGTTACAAACCGTTAGAATTATTTTATTCGACGTGGGAACTACCATTCCTATATTTTTATGCATATGTTAAATCTCTTCGTGGAGGTACTTTTTCACATAAAACTAATTCAGATCCCCTCTTTTCCTTATATAGATACTAACAGTTATCTTTAAATTGCATTTTTTATGATAAAGGAGGACAGACGAGCATGTGAAGGTAAAATACCCCAGCCATATAACATCTAAACAAGATGTGCTGTCGGTCTTTTTTGTATATTCGGAAATCCACACACTGAAACCGAAACGCGATTAAGTTCACGGCTTTTTCATTTGTGGTTCGTGACTTGGCCATAATTTCGATAGTCCTGCCACCCACCAGATTGCCAGACGAAGCCTTTATTGTTTCAGAAAATTTATGAATTTATTTGTTTGTTAGCCATACAGTGCTACCATTATACCAACCAGCCCGTTAACGTATTATGAGAAGAACGATACCTAAAATAAAAATAACGTAAAGCCTTATTATGACTTATACGTTAATTCAAGGCTCGCTGTACAACAGTATCTGATAAACATAATCTACCTGCATAATTATAGTATGACACACAGGCGCTAGTGATACCATCTCTAGGGTGTTTTCCCCTTATTTCCGCGGTTTTACTACGAATTAAACGTGAGTCATCTTTACGAGTAGTAAACACGCGTAGCGTAGGAACCGGTGAATGATCTCATCTTATCAAACTTTATGAATCCGGTCTTCAAAACCTGTTGGTACTAGTATACTCCATTGACTAGTAATAACACTCGGTTTTTTGCATTATGATAGCGGAAAGTCCTAGGTTCGTATTGTCGAACTATAATGTGAAAATTTTGGTTCAGTCGGTAGTGGACAATATTACAATCAGTAAAAAGACTCTATTAAATAAAACACTTTAACGGTTTAAAACGCGGTATATTAGTTAAACTTATTTGAAAATGATTTTTAACTTCGGCCCGACGTTTCGGATGCTTTGCAGCCGCCGTGGTAACGGGGAGACTCGTAATATATCGCGTTTTAAACCGTTAAAGTGTTTTATTTAAATGGGTACTACTCGCGTAAACTATAGACGGTATTTAAGACTCTATTATTTCTTCAGTTTTTTTTACTCTATGTGTGTTTAACTGTTACATGTGTTGGAAAGTATTCTGTAAAAGTATTTGAATATATATTTGCTTATTAATTTCCTTTTAAAGATTTTATATTTTGTATGATACGGTAGTGCATAGATATATAAAAATAAATATCTTCAAGTCACTTCTAGTGAAAAATAAAGTACGTTTTTACTAAAAATTAGGTGTAAGACGGTCTTAATGCAGTTATATATTTATTACAGATTTATTATTTATAACGAATACCAAAAAATAACTAAAATATCCAATATATGATCCTTTTTTTATATTCTAAATAATTCGAGCTTACAACTTAGAAATTAAGTACAATTTAAAAATACTATAACCAAAGGTATAAAGGCACTGTAACATATAGATGTCTATATCTAAGGCATGTAGAGGAAACTGGAATTCACTTCCCTTTTATTTAGGAAGTTAATTTACGTACTTGTCTCTCGGTCTAGCCAGTGAAGTTAGGTAACTTGCATCACAGAATATTGTTATGAATGAATAATATACCTATACCCCATCGTACGATTTGGTCACGTTATTGTATTATTAATTCAATAATAAACACGTACAAATGCGGAATGATTAAATTATTTTTTCACTATTTAAAATTTCGTTGAGTTCTTTATTAATTTGTCATCATATACATAAAAGATCGATTTTAAGGTACATCGAAAAATATGACACGGGCAGGACTTAAAATGGCAGTCACAGTGGTCCGGGCTGTTACTCTAACCAATTGAGCAATCGTGTCCTAAACATCAGCGTCTATTTTTTTCAAACTATTGATACATGGACCACTCACGCAATGTAATTTCATATTCATCATCAGCGCCTGAATTGTTTCCACAAGAGGAACTCTTCCTTTTTTCTGGGTTTTCAGGCCTTAATTTCCCACTGTGGCACGTTGGTTAGCAGATGGTACCAGAATTTCCCATGCCAAATTTCTTCACGATGTTTTCCTTCATATATGAGCAAGTGTCAGACGAACTCCCTGATTCAATGTTAAAACTTTAGGGTTACGCGCGGGAGGTCTTGGGAATCCCGAGAAAATAAAATACACAGTTTAAAGAAAACATTTTAATGGTTTAAAACGCGATATCTAATATATCTTATTTGGAAATTAATTTAGCTACCGTACAATTTTTCGGGTGCTTTGCAGCAGCTATGGTAACGGGGATACAGTACAGACAGTAGTTAAAATACTTCGTTTCGACCCGGCAGATCACAAAAGTTTCGACTTAAATCGTGAATCGTTTATTATCTCTTTAGACTGTGTAGCTCAGGTTGTATGTGTCTGGAATAAAGTACAATTAAATAAGAAACAAGTAAACAACGCGACTTTGCCATTTATCGTGATGAGTATCCATGAGAACAGAACGCGGAATTGAACTAGCTTATACCTTTGTAAATGTTGTCCGTTGCATTTGCCCAATATGGCTGTACTTAGTCATATAATCCTTAATAAGCATAATTAAACTATTACGACAGATAAAAAACTTGGAAAGAAGGGTGGGAAAATCGATTACAAATGTCGTATAAGTATAAACTATATAGGCTGACTAAACTAGAGGCAAAGTGGCCTATTAACAAAACAGGATATATATATCGCGATATATATCGCGTTTTATTTGAATGTTCGTATTTTCATATTTTCTTAAAGAATATATTATTCGTAAAGGAAAAATAATAAATAGCAAATAAAAGTAACATTGTTTTAGCTTACTAGTGTTGTTCCATTAAATGAATTAAAACATCGATTAGATCGCGTGTCTGCACGAGCAACCCTTCCCTTGTTTGGCACGTCAAGCTATAATTACTGTTGTTAGAATTCGGGGAACGTCGACGTTTTATTAGCCTTTAAATTGGGGTTTAAACTCATACATAATAAAGACACTTGATAGGTGCGCTACACACAAAATTCAGATTATAGACTTTGAGATGCAGTAAATTAGCTTAATAGAGAGTACATTGGCTTTTCGTATTAAGCTGGCTTATGTATTAGTGCTATAATAGTAAATATATGACAGATTAGTATTTTAGGAATATTGTAGGATACAACATCAATTTACAAGTACAGTACATAAGTATTCATATGAAAGTTAAATTAATTGATAACGTAAAG